CTGTGAACAAGTTTTGATGGAGATTGTTAAGTGAAGTTCAAGTTTTACTAACATGGATACTAAGGAATAATTAATATATGGGAGGATTTAGATATATATGTAGTGTTTTTTTTACGGTAAGCCATGTTAATACAGAGGAAGATTCAATAACAAAGCAATTTCGACGAAACAGCAAAAATTCAAGTGTTAAAACAACATTTAATCATTCCACCAAAGTAAAAACTTCAAAACTACATCCACTAAGACACACAGTACAATTCAACAACAAATTGAAGTAGACATCGTTTCTCAGAAAACCCATTGTACTGTCTGTATTTCAACAAAAAGCTTTGTGATTTTTTTACGTTGATTTGAAACCACAAACTCCACAAGGCCAATTTTATTTACTTAATTTTCATAGTCAACACAAAATTTATGAACTCTGCCCATGCCCACAAGTTTCATTTTGATTTAATCTTAAAGCTGAACAAAGAAATTGACTAGAACCGGGTTTGAACCTGTGACCTCTGGATTACCATTTCGGTGCTCTACCAACTGAGCTATCCAGACCGATTCTAGCGGTTTCCAATTTTCTCAATGTCTTAGTTCAAGGGCGCTAGTCAGAAGCCATAAACCCATGTGCCATACAGCCAGGGATCACGCCCAAAATCAAGATGCTATAGCAACATTAACAATGTTGCAAACCTGGGAAATGGGGATCACTCAGGAAACTTTCATCTTGATTTAATTTGATTTCATTTGATTACCCAACGTTACAAACGTCAGAAACTTAAACTTGGTTGTATCACCCTTTCATTCACTATGTTTGAAAAAAGAGAGCCCCCTTCAACCTTTCTTCCAGTTCCTGCCCCAAAAAACCTCACCAGTCAACACACAGCAGTCTGCCAAATTTATCCCAAATTTATAACGGAAGCGCCCCGGGGCAACTTCAACACACCCATGGACAGGGTCTGGCCGCTGGGCACAGCTGACCCGTTGAATGAAAAGCCAGATTACAGGCGCGGGTCCCGAAGAAAGAAGTCCGGGTTTGAAAGACAAGCTCGTAATATTTTATGGTTCTTGGAGTGTTTCTTGTTAAAGAGAGGTACGCCTGAATTTTGGTCCTGAGCTCAGAGTCTGAAGATGCTGCTTTGAGCTGTTTCTTAGTTCACCGATACTTGTGCCATAAATTTTCAAATGACTGTATCAATTCACCTGGGTGCCCAAGTTGTGCAATTTGGAAAAGGCAGGCAAATAAAAAATAAAGAAAATTAAAAGAATTGTTAAAATTATGTGAGAGTTTTGTTGCGAAGCATCGCTTTTAGAAAATCACCCTTTTAAAGTCAGTAAAGTATTTTTAATGAAATTCATATCATGACACATTGACTCTGTTGGGGACCCTTAATTCGGTAAATGTAGGGTGGTCCTAGACTGACCAAGCACATGTTGCAGATTTTCCAACGGTAACCCAGATCCCTAAAATGACACAAACGCTGTCGACTTTTCCCCCTTTAAATTGCCTCAAACCCCCGGGTGTTAAGCCGCAGCCCAGGAATCGGAAATAACTCAATTTGTGAAGTTCAAGCGGTCTTCACCTTGACACTTTGTTGGTAGGGGGTGAGGGCCAATGCACGGGGCCGGGGCTGTGTAATGGCTACAGGAACAGGGCCTACATAATTGCACGATGCTCCTAAAGAGAGAAATTAACATCGCTTAGGTAAGTCGTGTGGTAAGGGGGGGGGGGAAAATGAGCTGTGACCCATTCAGAGCAATACACCTAGCTTAAGACTTTGGCTGGTACATTTTGTACCTGTTTTGCTTTGAGCAAATATCACGGTTGCAGTTATGTATTTGTAGCTATCCTCGGCACAGAAATTAACACGTGAGTCAATTTGTGCAAATTGCTTCGCATTGAAGTCAACAGCCAAACTACCGGCACCATCCCATTTCATACTTGTGACGGGTTCGTTGCTGAAGCCTGAAGTTTGCTCGGGAACATAATGTGCAGTACAATATTTTCTAATACGGGAGATTCTTGAAATTTGGCACTGTTCCTTAGTTCAACCATAGAGCAAGGACCCAGCTCTGAAATGTCTTCAGAGCCCTGAGAAATGAAGGGAAGCAAAAGCCTTCCTGGACACCAAATCAACAAGCCACGGGCCTGTCAGAGATAACGGATCTGGGTCGCATTATGAAAACCCAGACAGTTGTGCTCCAATTTTTTTTTTTCTCTCTGAGCCCACTTGACCTATGACATTAAAAGGAAGCGGTGGTGCTATATCCCCAGACTGGGTACATGTAAATATTCAAAGTAAATCTTCCAAATAAAATAAACACGCTTTTTAAAAAGTTTTGAAGATATGATACATCTTAAGAGGGGGAGATATAGCAGCGATATTTCTTCCAAATAAGGTACAGGTCAATTCGTTCCAGATCCAACACACACCATTTGTTGAGGTTTAGAGAGAGAAAAAAATATGGGCATGGGAAAGAGCTTACAGAATTCAGGGAGCGATTTCCGAAGACAGACAAGTGATACTGGGGGGAAGGGTGGCGGTGATGATTCCAGCAGACAGCGCGAGCACGGCCGACCAGATGTGCATGGCACGCTAAGATGAGGCAGACAGGAAGTTGGATGATATCATCTCTGTCTGTCGGACGGTTCTTCTCCCACAGCATTGTGAATAGCAATCGCTGCTGTGAAGAAGTGTCGGTTCTGAAACTTGGTTCTGAAAGAATTGGTTGTGGGAGTTTCTGTTTTCTAGAAGTTTCAGTTAGTATATTTTGTCCATCTTCAAAAGAATGCCAATGCTTTCTTCCTTAATCAGAATCAATCTAAAATATTACTATTAGAAAGTGTTTCAAAAGGTTTAGGCCTAAGTTTTTACTTCAGTTATACTGCAAGGAAGCTTCAAATCAACAAATATTGAAACCGATATGTACATAAACAGTATCAAAGTCACAGAAACAAAAGCATGACGCACGAAAACTGTACTAATTTTTACTCTGTCCATGTTTTTCGTCTCCCTTTTCCTCTACCTATGATATTTTCTCCTTTTTTACAAGGTTGCATGATCTAAAAATATACAGTTGAAGGAGTTGAAGAAAAACAAAGCTCCATGCAGGTTCATTCTACATCCAAACTGGAAAAACAAATTTGGAAAGTGAAAATCTAATTTCCACAGGTATTTTTCGTCTAGAGCTAGTCACGCAACCAGGAAAATGAAAATAAACGCACTCAGGTTTTTAAATATACTTCATGCATAGAATAACAATACATGCACAGAGCATTTATGTTTATCCCCTCCAAAGTACACGTGTAGGCATGTTCTAAACAATTTTTTTTCACTTAAAAACATGCAAATATTAATTTACATGGTACTTTATCTAAAAGAATTCTGTGAATTTACAAATCATTTCCCAATATTATTCCCAATATTCCCTGGACTACTAAATAAATGTAAAAATTCTAAAAATTCAGAAACATGCAAAAATCTGAATACATGACCCCAAATTTTTAGACCACACCCAGTTTAATTCAGTGAACTTTTTGTTCTTTAATAATACATCTTATTTCATGGAATTTTCAAATTAAGATGAACAATCACAAATTCATCTTAAGTACCAGGAAACTCTTTCACTCAACTCATTTATTTCCTCATGAAAATGCCTTGGCACATACAGCTAACACAACAGGCACACTTTGGTGAGTCAATGAACATACATGTATGCGGCCCCTCCGTCTACACCCCTAAGTTTGGTGACCCCTCTATTCAGGCTATTGTATCCCCTTTTAAAGCTGGGCTGAATAGGCCATGATGAAACAGCATGGAAAACAGGTTCAATGGGGAATTCAGTTTTGAGTGTGTAACTGGTAAAACCCCTTTTCACGTCTGCTTGTTGTGCAATACATGAGGTTGCTCAGAAGCAAAATAAGGAAATAAACGATCAGTCATATAAGTTCTATACATGGCTCTCATACTTGAGCAATCAAAAGTAATGTAGATTATGCAACACATGTATTGATACATGTGTTGCATAATGTAGTTCATTGAAGAACAAAAAATATCGTCCAAAAATTGATGACAGGAAATTAGACCAAAACGTAATATAAAAACCTTTCTGTAAATGTAATCTTTTTGAATTTTTGAAATGAAAATTTAAAAGGTATCTCTGAAAATCCTGATTAATAACAACGGTAGCACTAGCAAGATACAGTGTATTTTTCACGTGTTGACTGCAAAAACACAATGTCCTAATAAAATTATATCACACAACAACATGTAGCAAGGTCGTATTTAATTAACTTCAGCCCCCAGTCAAATTATGAATCAATCAACGCTAAACAAACAATTCCAGGGGAGATTTGATCAAAGCTATGATGGCCAGGGTTTCATTTGTACAGTCAGAATGCTTGGAATGCCTTGTCAACTGCCAAGCAAACATATTCCTATTTTTACATGTTTGCCCAAATTAACTTGAGATTATTTTTAAGATAGTAGAAAATTATGTAAACAAACAAGAAACTGATTAACTGGTATAAAGGATTGAGAAATTAAAATGTGACTTCCTGCAATCAAATTTCATTTGTATTTCCCCGTACAGTCGATCATGCTGCAATGATACACCTGAAATATTACTTTGTTTCTTGCTCTATGCACAGAACAAGGAACAGTTCCTTGCGCCATAATATGAGATGGAGTAGCATGTATGTATTTTATGTTTTGGAGGACCCACTTTTTTTTTCCCAAGGCATTTTGGTTTCTCTGATTTCATGAATGTATATTTGTACAATACAATGTACCTCCCTATTTTTCAGTGAACCTTTATTTGTACCTCAAAGAAGCCATCTCCTCAAAGGCATTTTATGATGAAAACAAATTAAAGTAATTTGTACTATTATTTTAGGAATAAAACATGTTATCGAATTTTATTATAAGCAGGAAAAAAAATCAGTACTACAAACATGACAAAGATGTTTGTAACCGCTCTAGTAGATCTGCAGACTGCCAAATACTTACATTATCATAATTCTGATTGAGATCCAAGATGTACATTCCATACTTCTGCTTGTTTTGGTCCCACGGTTGTTGTCCTGGCTTCAGCGGACTCGGTGTCTTACTCACAAACTTCAGCATGATGACTCGCTTTGACTGTTTTACGACTTCCACAATTATCCAGACCAAACAGCCACCAGCAAGACAAAAATCTTTTTCCGGAGAGAGGAGTTGCTGGAATAAATCCCTTACTTCCTGGTAGAATCCTTGGTAATTCCTTGGACTTGAGGAGGGGTGGGTGGGAGGTATGTTTCCCCAAGTTCCTAGCTCGACATGATGGTTTCAGCGGATTGTTGCCTTCACCAGCACTGAAAGCGTGTACCAGAAGTTGTCCTACTTGACCCGACTAATCTGGAGGTCACTCGTCGGTCCTTAGCTCACAAGTATAAGCGTACACCGATGATGACAATTCAACAGTGACAGTATACCGGTACCTTGCTCTGTGGCACAGTACCTATAAACACTCTGACTTCCACACAGCATGCACAGTGATTGTGAAATCTCTCAAAAGTTTTCACTATTTCCTGTTAGTTACTGACTTTCAAAGACTCACTGGGAGCACAGACTACATGTGATTGATGGTCACATGTGAGCTGCATACTCTAGTCCAGGCTTTCAGAAAATCAGAATTGTATCTCAAGACTGTTATCTGATGAGGACCTGAACTCCATCACAGAAACATCTGTGTACTTGTACTTGACTGCTTATCTCTCAGATCTAATAATAGTACCAGAGGTACATCATGTCTGTTGATGACTTAGTCAGTTGTGGTCTGTGGTAGTAGTGTGTTCATCACAGTCACACTTCACATAAACTGGCCTCCAATCTTGTAACGCCCCGCTGGTGGTTTTCACAAAAGTTCCCACACTCTGTGGAATTTTCTAAGGCAAATACAGGAACAATAGGGTCTGCATACAAGGCCCGATATACCCCTTGCCCATGAATGAGGGGCTCTGGTATGCAAAACTGTCGCCTCTACCAGGGAGTGCACCCACAATGGAACAGTCCAAAAACACTTCCAGGGCCATTCAGACTAGTGGCAGACGGCAGTGGGAAGTGGCACGCTCTATTGTGAGTCAGAGGGGTGTGGCGGGCGTAGGGGTGAGGGTGAACCAAATTTATTTTTAAAAAAATTACAACTTTTGTGGTGGAGGGATTTAGTGTTGAATCATATCTGATCATAAATGGGACACAAAGCCTCCATTGTGACTTGTGAAATTCGTTCATAACTTTGGTGAATCATTGTTTATTTAGATTAAGTTCCAAAACACTGAATTCCACCGAGCATACAATGTGTTCTATTTCTTGTGGACTTGGCTAACACATGGCTAGATAAAAAACCTTTTGTTTCAATATTTGACAATGGTCTTTTATCATCCGGTGATCACTGATGAATGGGTCTGCGGTAATGTTTTCACTACTATGCCCCAATAACACATGTATTACAGAATTTACATAAGTCAAACAAACTAAGCACTGTGTTCAAGTCTAGACGATTTCTTGCAGCAGTACAAACAAAATTCTTCCAATTGATATCAAGATTTTCTCATGTAACTAGTTGCTTCCCACAATCTTGGGCAGTTTTGGATTTTGAAGGAGAAATGCTTCTGGATAGGACATCCAGAAAATTCGAATCGTCAGACATAGTGGATGAAGAAATAATATGAGTGTTATATTAGTATTATACCTGACTTTTTTTGGGGGGGGGTTCCATTTCCTAAATTCCTACCACCCATCATTGAGTCGCTGAGAGGTACGTAGTGCCATTACAAAGCTGCATTTTGTATGGTTTTTATTGATTTTCTAAACTTTGGTATGTACCTAAGGAAACACAGCTGGGTGGTGGGATTGTGTGACGATCAATAACGGATGTTCCAACAGGCTGGATTGAAAGGGTGGCATTTGGGTTTTTACACTGCTGAGGGCTTTGGATGGATTAGTGACCGCACATGTTGTAACGACTTGTGTTTCTTGCAAGACTTTTAAGTCTTGTGAGAAATACAAGTCATTGAAACATGTGTGATACATTCAGCATATCTTGTGTATTGACATCCAGCTATATTTAATGAATGGCCGATCTTGCATTTGCGGAGCCTATCTCAATTCTCATAAACCCAACTGCACGGTTTTTTTTCTCAAAAGATAGGGTTGCATTTGTGGGGCCCATCTCATAAACTTAACTGCACTTCAAATGAAAAAACTTTTTTTTTCAAAAGATAGGAACCAAATCTTGCACTTCATTTTTTACAGAGCCTTTCATGAAAAAAAAATTCATAATTTGCTTAATTTAAATTAGCTGTATCTCTATAGGATATTTCAAGTCATAACATTTTCAAGGCTCAATCACAATTTCAAAAAGACAATCCATCTCCAACTAGCAATCACTTCAAATGTACAGTGTTACAATAACTGAATTATAAGAATATAATTCTGACAGTGTTACAATCACAATTTCAAAAAGACAATCCATCTCCAACTAGCAATCACTGCAAATGTACAGTGTTACAATAACTGAAGTTTAATTTACAATAACTGAAGCTTAATATCAAGACTTTCTATGAGAACATTTTCAGCTAGCCAAAAATGTAAAAATATCGAGTGTTACAAAGAAGTCAATGAACTCTAAAGGAAACAGGTGTTCTTTTGTAGTTTGTGTAGAAAGCATGTATGTGTAAAATTCCATTGACATTTGAGGCAGACATTGATGTATTTTATACTCAACAAGAGAGTCCACAAAAAAATACAGAAAATGTCGCAATGGGTTGGTAACATTGGAGATATATAATTCTTATTATTCCTCCATGGGATAGGCCTAAAAAAGCTCATAAATTTTAGTGCACTAGTGTGAATTCAAACACAGATGGTTGACTAGAATGGCATTCATTTGTTCATTGATAGCCTTTATCTAAAAGCTTCTACCTAATCCAGCACCAGGCTAAACACAGACAGTTGTAAAGACTTGGCTACCCTATCAAACAGGTATCAACAAACAATGTTGGTAAACATCACCAACAAGAAAACATTCCAGACTGCTTCCTAGAAGGTGAGATTTTAATGACTTTGTTTACCTGGGTCGTTAACTGTGGAGTTTTTTCAATAAACAGGGCCAGGCCCACAATTGCTTTTGAGGTGTTAAACCAAGGGAGAATGTCAACCAATAACTGGAGGTCAAGTGGGTCAAGAAGTATGGCAGACTTTGACCATCAACAAACTGATCTATTGGAATGGAACCTTGAACAACTGAACAGAGGAATTTCAAATAAGCATTGAAACCGCAGGCCTTAGCACCCTCTTTTATAGCAAGGATTTTAAATAGGTCCCCAAAAGTCATACAATGATTCAGCACTGCAGCCTTGGCTTGTCTGGTAACTGGAAATTTGATCATTAATGTTGCCGTAAGGGTTTAAACATACTGATCTAAGTTTAGCGACTTGTTATGGTTGCCAAAATAACAAACCTCAAGATCAATTTTCATAACACTTTCCAAGTAGAGGCAAACTTGAAAACAGCTTTTGACCAAGAAATCAGCACCAATACCAAAATTATCTTTGAACCACTTTCTAAAGATTCACCGCCACACAAAAAGACATCCAGTGGCCAGATGCTGTCATATTTTCTGTGTCTGTAGCAGTTCCTAGATCTTATTTCAAGCCTGTTTCCTGTATGGTCAGACCGCAGACAAATAAAAACCGAGCCTCAGACGTAACTAATCCCTCGAATTCGGATCACAAACCATCGCTTCCTCGTTTGACCTTTATTAAATAGATTTGTTGTCTTAAATTAGTGAGGGCGGTGTTTACTACTACAAGGACAAGAATTTTGAGTGCGTGGTACTCTGAGAGTTGGGAATTGGTTGGGAGAGATACCGGTACAGGGGGATACAACTTCAATTGTGGTCGTTTTTCAGTGCTATAGCCAAGTCTATTTCACATCTTCACAAGTCCTCACAAAAAAGTGTCATCCAATCCCAAGTCAAGTCACGAGCTGTTCAAAAGATTCCAGACAAAGGCAATCCTTTGCTATTGTTCTCCCCTTCGAATTGTGACCTGCACAGCCAGTTTTATAAAAAGTGATTGGCACATTTAAATTAAGCTTGCATCTGGCAATAGAAAGTTGGGAAGGGGCCGAAGTGCATGGGCGCTTGCCCACCCTCCCCAACTTTCTGAAGATCATGACCCACCCTACTTTTGAATTCCATAACAAAGACATTTTACTGTACTCCCACTTTCAGAAACGCAATGCATCAGCTATGTAATTTCTCAGTGAACAAGAAATTGGACTCTTTTTGTTTTGAAAGGCACCAACTCTTAAGAGCAACATGCTGTTTGTGTAAAGTTGATTGGGCGACTTGATTGATTGATTGATTGATCAAGTGCAGGAAAAGGTGCCAAGTGCTTTTTGGAGGTGCCAATGGGCAGGGCAAGACATCAAAGGTTAGCACATAGGCCAGCCTGGGTGAGCACAGGGCATGACAGAGCATTGCATGTACATCCATCACTATACAAGCTCTCTGTAAACATGACGTATGGTGCGTAGTTCATGACCGTCTAATGACCGCTGTAAATCAGCATTCTCCTGACATGTTTGTTTGGTTCAACATGGTTAGGACTCCAGGCTGTGACACATTTGTTTGGGGGAACATTCCAGGGTTATGTGCTTGCCTTAAAAACCCCTTTTAATTTTTGTCAAACCATTCATCAATGGGTAAACAACCCACACTTCACAGGAGGTGTCTGATGAATTGGACTACATGTATGTTATATTATACTCTATTCCCCCTCCATTAACTAATTAAACACCAGAATTATAATAAACGTATCTGAAGTTCCATGATTCTTGGTTTTCAAAACAATTTGAAAAAAAAATAATCATACAGGGACTTGCCAGAAATTATCTACAGTTTAAACTGACACTTCTGAAGTCACAATGATGCAACATTAGGAAAAAAAGATTGAAATTTCGAAGTGCATTCTCACTTAAACAAATTTTGCAAACATTTGCAAAATTTGCAAGAGGACAGTACCCAAACACTGGCAATATTGACATAAGCAAGAGTGGACCCAAATTTCTCAAAAACCTACCGGTGTGGTCTCATCTTCGCAGTGGTTCGTCTCAGCCGGCTGCCCGTTACATTGCTTACTGCTGGACGACTCTGTGGCCAACTTCTCAGCAAACATGGCCGGCAGGCCCGACGTCTGTGGTAAACTCCTCTGAAATACCAAGAAAGAAAAAACCCAGACACTGGTTACTCTGTGATTCTCAAACAATCTTTACAGTCAAACTGTTCATGGTTCCGAGTACTGTGCTCTATAGTATTACAAAATTACGAGGTACATGTGTACTATACAGGGGTAATTTGGAGTCAAAATTGTCATAATGAAAACCTTGGTGATAAATGCAACGGCTTTGAATGGGAAAATTGTTGAGACCTTCGGATGGAAATAAAATCGCAGACAACCTTTCGCTTGGTGTGCTTTGTGTATGATTTATTCTTCCAAGGACTTGTTGCCACTGGGCCTGTTAGTCCCATTAACTGTAGACATGCACTTTTTATAAAAGGTGAGATTTTATTGCATCTGCAAGTATGATGAAACACAAAATTACCATAGTTTAACCAAAATCTTATATAAGATGAGCATTTTAAAATTGTGGCCACATTCAGCCATCCTGCTCCACTTAAAAAAAAAAAAACACAAACAAAACTAAAAGACAATTTAAAATAAAGAAAGATGATCCTTTTTATAGCAAACATTTTCCATTCAGGTTCTCAGAGCTTACTGAAATCAAATCTACATTTTACAAATTTATAGTACATGTACATAAATTTCTGGATAATTTTGAAATTAAGTCCTTATAAGGCAAAGTCAAAAATAAAGTTACTCGTCCAGGCTTTGTGAAAAAAGGGAGGAGGCGCCCTATCTTTTTTCCCCAAAAAGGCGGATTTTCCAAGATGGATTTGTCGGT